GTTCAATTTGACCGTAAAAAAATATTCAAACCGAATCCACGGACTTTCTTCTGTCTTACAGTGACTAAATCCCAAATAGTCTTCTACTCTATTCAAAGTATCCAATGTGCCCAGCACATTTGACACGTTTTCCCGTGTCAAAACTTGTTAGTATTTTAAACAGTGCTCGGCTACCTCTATTTTTCGTGGTTTTCCCATTCCTCATTTTTGTAAAGCACTATAAAATTGTACAGTAGTGGCTAAGGCGCACATCAGCATGTGTAAACCTTTAGATCTTACTCATATTTGTGAGAGGTGTCGGTCCATGCACATATCATTATGCCATTCGCCACCGCTTATCACCACCGCAAGTACCGCAGTACGTGGCGCAGCTCAAAGGGATAGAACTAAAGCATGTGAAAGCATTTCTGGCAGCCGCTATACAGTCCATGTGTGACCGCGGATCTTAGCTCTAACCGGTTTGAATTAGTTAGGGGTATGTGTCCTATCTACCTGTAAGCTTTTTTATTTAGAGTGTGTGACTATATGCGTCAGTGATCCAGAGAGAAGAGCGATAATACCGATGATGTTACTAGGCAGCATGTTTTGGCCGTTTTACGACATTCTCTGGAAGACAATCGATGACCATCATAGAAAAAGGCTTTAAAAAGAGCCATTTCTTTATATAATAAAGATTTGGAAGTTCGAGTTTTTCAAAAGAAATAATGAAAAGAGAACCAACTTCATTAAGATTAAGTTTCAAACTTGTTAATGTTTTCCCACCAGAACCACCTCGCATGGGATTCGTTCCTAACAAACGTTCAATAACATTAACGTGGACCTACGAAAAATGCAGTCCTACTGACCATATCACTGGATACCTAGTGAAAGTGGGAAACAGAACCCATAAAGTCATTGGTGATTACCAGAGTTATACTGTGACCGACTTAAAGCCATACACTGAATACAATGTCTTAATAAAGGCTATCAAGCAAGTAGGATATGGAGTATGGAGCAACGTCACAACAATCAGAACTGATATTGCAGGTGCATATTATACACGTAATTACTTTCATAACATTTTATTTCATGTGAATCTAATAGAATAAATTCCAGTTCCTTGGCATACAAAGGATCGAAATAGCCAAATATTTGCAAAAAATGTGAATGTTGGATATTCGACTTTTGAATATTCAGCAGCATGTTAGCGTAGTCAGGAATAAATAGTTAGTGTCAAATAATAAGTAGTTAGTGTCAATAATATTTATTGCTGTACCGAAAAAAAATTTTTTTTCGTATGCAGGGTGTTTTTTTCGATCTGCAAACGTGTAGTAGTTGCTTGACATTTCAAGTATAACATTGAAATGATTTCCAATTGTCCTGTTGAATAAACCAATAAAAATGCATACGCGGCTTTTAGTTGCGGTTACTGTATAAATATTGATCATACATGCGGTGTGGCAACTAATTTGCCGTTTTGCATAGGGTGAAACCGCTCCAATTTCCATATATTTATTGAATAAAACATTGGTTCTGTAATTGATGTTTTGCTTAGAACCTGAATAGATTGCTTCTCTAAATGCTACAGAAACATCATCTCAAACAATTTTGCTAAAATAGAAAGTAAGTATTTGTTATTAATTTAACCTGTGAACATCTTTTTGCATAGTGTATATAAAGCAGAGCTAACCAGGTCTTCCCTTTCTATAGTTTGAAGGAAAGGAAGAAAAAAATTGGTCATCAAAATATTCTGGTTGATTATTTCCTTTGAGCCAGTGCTCCATGTTACTCCTGTACATCACACCACAAGGAAGAAAGATCAATATGATTGACGTGGGTGATGTTGCAAACTACACCCTGACGTTACTACTCAAGTATTCAAATTACAACATCACTATAGCAGTCACAAACACAAAGTACATTGGTCCACGAAGTACAGAGCGAAGAGTGAGAACAATGGAGGATGGTGAGATGTTAAATGCTGTAAAAACAGTAACGGAAATAATAATCTGTGTATGCCGAATCAAAATATGACAACCAATTTGAATAATTATTGATTTAGACTGGCTAGCCTTTTGTTTACGTGGAAACATATGAAAGAGTTGTCTCAGGGAATAATGATTATAATGATATCCTAGATATGTTTACAAAAAGTTTTTTCCGACACAGGTAAGTGAATCAGTAGTAATGATGAAGCATATGAAGATAAAGTTCAGAAGATTCATTCACTTTCCTGCGCCGCACCGCTGTCACACAACTACACTTTTTTCATACGTTTTTGACATCTGTTGCATCATTCTAGTATTTTAAACAGTGCTCGACTACCTCTATTTTTCGTGGTTTTCCCATTTCTCATTTTTGTAAAGCACTAAAATTGTACAGTAGTGGCTTAGGCGTACATCAGTATGTGTGAACCTTTAGATCTCAGTCATATTTGTGAGAAGTGTCGGTCGATGCGAATATCATTATGCCATTCGCCACCGCGTATCACCACCGCAAGTACAGCAGTGGCGCATCTCAACGGCTTAGAACTGAAAGCATGTGATGGCGTTTCTGGCAGCCGCTATACAGTCACAGCTCTAACCGGTTTGAATTACTTAGGCATATGTGCCCTATCTATATGTGCGCTTTTTTATTTAGAGTGTGTGGCTATATGCGTGATCCGGAGGAAAGAGCGATAATAACGGTGATGATTCTATAACGCAGCATGTTGGCCATTTTACGACATTCTCTGGACGAAAATCGATGACTATCATAGAAAAAGGTTTTTAAAATAACTGAGTTCTAACGCGCGCTCTGATTGGTCGAAAAGGCATTTTAGATGAGAGTATCTAAAAGGCTCACGTCATCATATTTTTTTCAGAACGTTTTTCACTCTTCTCAAAGCGACAATCGCAGCAGTTCTTCCGGGTTGTTTTTTTCTTGTGTCATCGAAAATATAAACATTACTTTTGAAAAATAAACGTTAAGAGAACAATATTTATTGGACTTTTTCAAGCGAATTCTTTACGCGCTTCTTGAACGCTTGAACAATCTACTTAACTTATCTCCCCCTTCTCCGTGTTTTCTCCAATTTTGTCAAACAT